GATTTCTTCTTTCCTGGTTTCTTCTGCTCATGGCTTGTATTTTTGTTCTGCAGGTGTCTGGAAAGGTCTGTTTGCTCGTATCATCATGATTGGTACCCTGACTGCGCTACAGTGGTTCATCTACGATTCTGTGAAGGTTTATTTCAGACTTCCTCGTCCACCTCCACCTGAAATGCCAGAATCTCTGAAGAAGAAGCTTGGTTTAACTCAGTAGACACCTCATGGACTGACTTCGCTGGCTGTCCAGTGATGAGTTTCATGAAACTTTTATATATTTGACTATGTGGAAAACAAACTCTATATGGTGTTACTATTGGCTGTACCCTCATCCCACATGAGGGTTTAAATTCTACCACTGTCATTGCCTGAAATAAATGAGAAACAGAGTGCTTAGTGTCTGTTTACTACTGCATATATGAGCTTCATTTCACAGCAGCAAATGCCTCAGATACTTCCCAAAATGAAAAATAAAAAAATAGGCCTTTCTGCACTTCAAGAATTAGAATTGTGAAACGGCAGCAGCAAAATAGGCTTTCATTGTTCCCAGAGTAGGGCCAAGGAATCCCATGCAGTATTGCAGAAACTAACTGCAGCTGTATCCTTTTTTCCAGTTCTGTTTCACCAGCTGTTTCTGTAAAACAGATTAATTGCAGTGATTGAGATAAAAATGCAGTCTGATAGGACATCCCAGTTATAGCATCTGCGTTCTCCATAGATTTGAGGGAGAATCTTACACTACTCAGAACTCTCTGCATTGGAGTAGTCACTGCAATGCAAATTATGCTTACTTGACTAATTTCTGCTTCTCTTGGCTTTGAACTGCACCAAAGATGTTGTTTTGGCTGTACTGTGGAATTAAATTGCAGCAGCTACTTTAACAAGAGCAAAGCTGATGTAATAAAGTTTCTCAGAAATATTCAACCACTAAAAGATAATTAAAAATGGCTTGTTTCTTCTTGGAGGGATTGAACATGCCAACTTTTTCTTAACTTCGGTATTTCTGTAGTTTGATTTACACTCCTGTGCCCCCCTGCCTTTTTTTTCACTTAATTATGTTAATAGGGAGTGTTGGTTGAACCATACATTTCTGAATGCCTGATTTTGAACCTTAATGATCTGAGGAAATCTTAAGCTTGTAGGCATGCAAGGAGAGAATCCTGAAAATATTTTATTAAGGCAATGAATTTTGTTTGTTTCCAGTATTTAATGTAAAAGATGAGCATGCTGCCTTTTGAGTTTCAGCTGTACAAGAGGCAACAGTGGAATCACACTAAGTAAAATTCAGAAAATGCCTAATAGTGTATTAAGGGTTCATCACCTCCAGCATTACTTTGTTCACTTAGTAGAGCTGGAGCATGTGTCCTTTTTGCAGAACTTCCATATGTTGCCTTTCAGCATTCAAGCTGGTGATGAACAGTCTGCTCTGTTGGAGTAGCATAAATAGATTGACCACATCATCCTATTGAGGTCTAGTATTTCTGCTACTATTTTACATAGCATTGAGATCCCTGCTACTTCGAAAAAAGCCCTCTGACTTTCCAAGATTTTGGGATGGTTATGCTAAACAAGTAAGCTAGCCTTTATTTCCTTTCTAAATGAGGAGTAAAATCTAAAACGGTTTCCCTTTTCCAATGACACTAAACACATTCTTACAGTGGTTGGTAGCTAACAGCATTATACTGCAAAGCCCAATTCCCTAAGTCTAAATAAAACACTTGTGTGAAGTACTTTGGGTTGAATTTCAGGGATAAAAGTACATATATCTTGTTGCCCCTGTTGCTGGTAGGAAGCTTTGAAGCTATTTAACAAAACCTGCTTCTAAGAGTTTTTTGGACGAGAGCATTAAGTACAACCTTGATCTTACATCAAGACCACCGATGCGAAGTAATTTTAGAAATTGCCTTTTGTATGTGGTTCAACTTAACTGGTAAAAAAAAATAGCATCTCTTGTGCACTGAATAGCGAACTTTCAAGGCCAGCAGAAGAATAAGACAGAATTTGCCTTACATAGCTATCAAGTAAACCAATGTTAAGCTACATTTTGCAAGACTTTCCTCTTGTTTCATGGGTGGAGCAAAATCGTGGTTTTTTCTCTAGAAAGACCTGGGCTACCTTTGTGCAGCTGTAAACACGTGCAGTAATAAAACAACGTTATTTTTGCTCTAAGGTGAACCTGAAGCTGTCCTTTGGAAGATGACCTTTATCAAGGTCAATCTAAGATAAAACTACTAAGAACAGTTATATCTCCTTTTCTTTTGTAACCGAGAAAGGCAAAATAGACCTAGTTCTACTTCCACTATTCTGCTCCAGTGGAAAACTTGAGAGGGAGCTGCTGACTGGCAGCTGCAGCTGCTAAGTGTTGATTTTTAGCCATAGGCTTGTTTGGATGCTTGAGATGCTTCAACATAGAAAATGTTATTGCACAAAAAATTATCCACTGAAATTTTAACTGCTTCAGTGGGAAAGTGGTGGTATTAAAATGTATTTGAAAGTCAAACTGTGTCATTAATAAATGTGCTTTATAGCATTATGTGCAGTATGTTTTCTCAAAGTAGAGAAGATGGGTGGGAGAGCCACGGTACTTCAGATGGGCTTGGTTGTTTTTACAGAGAAAGTCCTGTATCGGAAAGGAGCACTCCTCTGCAACCACGTATAACTGAGATAACTTCAGAACAATCATTAAACCCAAGAGTGCTTCATAAAACATGGATCATATATATGCTGCTTCTGTATATTTTTTTATGAAGGAGAAAACATACTCTCTTAATATTTATGGAGCTGAAATCTGCTTTCTGGTTTAAAACGTACTGCCTATAGAAATTTGGAATAAGAACTTTCACACCCTGTGCTTGTATTAGATTGTACTACAGATCAAATTCGCTGATGTTGCTAATACGTGCTGAAATGCTTGTAACATACCATTTTAAACTGGGCTATAATAATACAAATAGATGTAATTCATTTACATTTCTACATGGAAATGTAGTTCACAGTGAAAACAATAAATCCTGTTTTTTACAGTGAACGTGAGTACCTCTTGGACAGATGAGCTCAATAGCTGTATAGCCTTGTTACAGGATACAGTTTCTGTAACTTGAGTGATGTGGGCAAAGAATCACTAGCAGACTTCTGGCTGGCTTGGTGTTCTGGTGTCTAAGAGCAGACTTCAATACGTTGGCTGTGCTCCTGTAATGTTTCAGGATTTGTCACTGAACACTGTTGATGCTTTTATTCGTTGTAAGTTGCTGGCTAGAATACTATTCTTGAGCAACATACTTGAGTGATAAGGTAAAAGCAAAGATGTCCTGAATATCATTATGGCTTACACTGTATGGAACGAGTCTTTGCAAGTAGCAAAGCTGTAATTTTCATTGCTACCTGAATCTCTCCATCACATAATGAAATTGTAGAGGGTATTGTTGACCATCCATAGAAATCAACTAAGTAAGAATTGTGTTTTTCCTGATCTCATACACTCCCCCCTGCTGAGAGCACAAAAGCAAAAAGCAAGGCTAGTAGATTGATCTAAAGTTATGAAAATTGCCTCACTGTGCCTCATCTTTTCCAATACAGAATGAGTTTTGCCTCTGTCCTTAGACCAAACTGAGGAGGACTATGAATGTGGTGAAGGGTCTAGAGGGGAAGATGTATGAGGAGCAGCTGAGGTCACTGAGCCCAGAGAAGAGACTGAGGGAGTGCCTTATGGTGGCTCACAGTTCCTCACGAGAGGTATGGAGGGATGGGTGCTGAACTCTTCTCTGGTGTTGAACAGTGCTCTCAGACATAGTTTTAGTTTTGGGTAGTCCTGTCTGGGGCCAGAATTTGGACCTGATGATCCTTGTGAATCCCTCCAGCTCAGGATATTCTGTTATTCTGTGCTTCTGTATTTTTCAGGTGCAATGCAGAACCTGCACTTTAACATGGCTGATCATTCTGGATGTTCTCTTATTTTTCTCCTTCAAACACCTTGTTATTTTCAGGAGTTTGCTCAAGAGCTGTGTGAAGGAACAAAGGTTCCTTGGTTGGCACATACGGATGCTTTTTAGGAAGACCTGTCTTTTAACAGTTTTATTCCTGTGGTTTGTCAGATGGATGGAAAGGAGTAAAAGAAACTTGAAACATAAAAAAGTGCAAAAAATCATGGAATGCTGAATAATGATGGGAAGAGTGAGGGAAAAGAATGATATTATATCTTCCATCAACTCAAGGGCCAACCAGCTGCATTGTTTTCAGATATGACCATCTGAACAACTGACGAGTTATAAAGACCACCCTATTAGGTTATATCTCTTGACATAACTTCACTTTTAGGGATTTTTTCTCAATTGCTACATCTTTCTTAATTTTTTTAATAGCAATTTCTATTCCTACTTAGTGCACTTTCTTCTCTTTTCTCTGCTAAACGGTCTCCCAGTATCATGTTACTTCAATCTCTCTCTTACTACACTTCAAAATGTCTCAGGTACCGTAAGCTCTTGTTCTTCACCACAGAAATACAGTCAGGGGCTAGTATCAGTCTTATTCTTTGACATCTCAGTAGGTTCTCTTTGCTAATCTTGCCAATTGCTGTAGTATTTTACAGGCTAAGCAATGATGAATAATGCTGTTAGGATTCCTGTATGGATACATACAGGTGACACTGGGAGAAGGCCATCAATAAGATTAGTAGATCTTTCAAAGCACCCCCTCTGTATAGTACTGTGTTTTAAAGACCTAATAATGCTGCATAATTATGTGATTGCAACCATAAGGCCTCAGAGAAAATACTGATTTATAGGAAAAACTTTTTGCTGGGCATCAACTGCATTTCCTGGTTTTTTCCTGCATTGCTTGGTTCCCTGCATTTACCTCTTTAAATACTGATTATTTAAAAAATTAAAATAGGAAACTGCTGTGGTTTCCAAAAAAAAAAAAAGGTTAATGTATTGAGACAAGCACTAAATTGCTAATGCAGTTTGATTACCTTTCATTTATGTGGAGACCACAATTTTATTCCTTCTTTTGAAGCAGGAAAGGGAAAGCTGAAGATCAATATTTTATGCTTCAATACTGTTTTATTGTACAAAACAAGCATTTAATTAAATATAGCACCTGTCACCCTTCGGAAAGACATAAATATGCACAGAAACAAGTTTTTTGTTCAAATTATAGCTTGTTTTCCCTCAAAATCAGTATTTTTTTTCTTCTCTTTTAAAAGAAAGAAGTTTCAAAGTTCCAGTGTGCTTCTAAACAAAGCCTTTAAGTGTTGTCTTTCTTAGCACTATTCATGACGGAGTAACACTCCTCAAACATTGCTATTTCGTAGGCAGTGTCTTTTCTAGTGATCAATTAATGCCCGAGATCTTGGCTATTTCTTCTTTCATACCTTTGATCTCAGTCTGAACTCTTGTTAGATTGGTCAGCTTCTCATTCAGTAAAGCAATTTCTTTCTCCCGTCGTAACACATCCTCAACTAATCTTCCTATTCTCAGTGTTAGGTCGCTTATTAATGGCTCCAAGGTGGCAAAATCCTTTTTAAGATTGTACATCTTGGGTTTTAAATCATTTGCAAAAGTAACGGTCTTCAGAACTTTTGCTCTGTCTCCTTCGAGATTCAAAAGTCTATCTGAATGTTTGTTAAAGTCACTCCTTAACTCAGACAAAGCTGTCTTAATTTGCTCAATTTTTCTTGCATTACTGGACGCCAAGTTTTGTAGTTCTGTACTTCGGTCGATGCTACTGGTAATCAGATCACTTATGCTTTCTATCGTCTTCTTTTCACCTTTTTCTACCTTATCTTCCAATGCTTGCAAAGACTCCGTCAGTGCGGCCATCTCCGAGACCAGGCCTGAAATACGTCTTATGTCAGTTTTTACTGTCACAATCTTCAAAGTTACATTTTTGGCTACAGAAGCTGCATTCTCTTCAACACTTGCAACTGCGTGAAGAAGGGTTGTCAGATTCTTCTGCAGTTCTTCGTTCTTTTTAACTACGCTGCTCGACCATGTTGTCATTGTATAAATATCTTCCTGTAGACGTTTAATGTGAGAAGGTACCTGAAGATGTTCCATCTGCTCCATTAAGTTCAACGTCTTTTCACACTAAAGAGATACAAGTAAAAATATATGACAAAGTTTCTAACTTAACAACAATCATCAAGATTAAAGCTATACTCTAATTAAATACCTTAGTATTATGATGTTGAAATTGAGAGCAAACCCTGTCTTTGGGAAATAAGACATTTGCTGCAAGGCAGTTAACACTGTCCTTTCAGCACATTTAATACCCAATACTGTACTATTGGGTTTTTGGCTGAATTTGCTAGATCATACGTGTTGTTTTTTTTTTTGTTTGTTTGTTTGTTTGAGAAGGGAGGAGCAGGTGGGGCCTTCCAACACACACTGCAGAAATAGCTTGGTTTTCAGAAACGGTAACATCTATGCACCTGAAGGCTGGAACCAGTCATATGATGCAGGCATAACTACTGTATTACTCTTCTACTTTGTAACTAGCTTTTTTGTTGTTCTTGTTCAGTAAAAACAAACTTGGAAAACTCAGAGTATTACATTATTGCACCTTTTAACTACAAGGCCCTATCCGGTTGTTGTTGGTTTTTTTTTTTTTACTATTTTTATGAGAATTGATCACAGTTTGGAAATACTTGGAAATAAAGAATCTAGACCACACAGTAGAACATGCTTGTGAAACAACAGTATTATTAAAAAATTCAGTCTGGAACAGTACTTTTAATGGAACAGTGGACATACATTCTCACTTTTGGAAGATCAAATTATTTTGAATTGGATTATTCACCAGGACAGAGCAATAGACTGCAACATATTTTTATTGAATATGACTGTAAACAGATACAATCCATACATAAATAATAAATAATAAATACATGAACCTGAAATATCCTAGCATTGAGAAATAGAGGTTTAAGAGTGTCTTGAACACGCAGTATTAACTGCTCTCTCTAGAGAAATCAATTGTTCATTGTGTTACAAAGTCAATAGGATATGATAACAAAAAGTAACAATATGGGAACCAAAGCAATGAAGAATAAATATAAATTTTAACCTGATGTCTCTGTCCCCCTCCCAACTCCCAGCTCGTATGCTGAAGTCACGTAACCTTTAATCAATTAAAGTGCTTTTTCCATCAGTGTGAGCCTTAAGTCCAAATTCACTTATCCCCATCTTGGTCACTTTCTAACTTATAGCCTTCTAAAGTTATTCCTTCAGCACCTGAAGATACTTCCATGTCACGTACTACTTCTTCTATAACTGCTCTTTTATTTTGCAGTTTTGATATGCTGTCATTGTACTGTGCACCGTCAAGAACGTTCTGCATCGCCGCTGTATCAGAGACAGTTTTCAACATATTACTTTCCACAGTAGATAGCTGTGTTGCCAAGTTCTCTATCTTCTTCTCCATACTTAGCAATTCACTTGATAATCTAAGGATAGAATGAATAGCATTTTCGATTTTTGGCAAATGGGTCTTGCACTCCTCAATTTTAGGTTCATAGGCTGCAAGTTTCTGATTCAGGTCTGTGTTCTTGGCTAACAGACTGTTCAGCTCTTCTTCTAGTTTTTCAATTGCCGTTGCATGCGAGTCCAACTTTTGTTCAACTCTAGCAAATTCATCATCTTCTTGCCTTTTTACTGTTTTAATATTTCTGGCTGTACTGTCTTCCAAGTCTTTTAATCTTTCTGAAAGGGATTTAATTCTTTGGTCAACTTTATTTATCTGGGAAGTAACTTCTGTATGTATGAACTTTGCTTCAGATTTTATGCCACTAGTGTTCGTGTTCATTTCATCCATGCTTCTTCTCCAGGAATTCGTAATATTTTGGAACTTCTCATTAATGCCTTGCATCTTTATAAATAGAGTCTCTTCATTGGTCTCAATCTCTCTTATGGTGTTATGAAGAGAAGACACTTGCTGCTCAAACTCAGTCATCACAGAGATGGATGAGGCAGATTCTTGTAGGATATTGTCAGAAGACTCAAGCTGCATTTATAACACAAAGCAGTGTCCAGGTCTACTAAACGACAGCAAGACTAGAAAATCACTTGCACTTGTTTAACAGAGAATGAAGTCCCTTAGAAACAACTTTATTTGTTACAAAGTTTCTATATTAAGATTTGCTTTCATATTTGTTTGTTAAAATATTAATCTGGCATTAAAAAGCCACATAAAAAGGTTTGTTTGTTGATGATTTTCCATAGAATGTGTTTTTTTTTGTGGGGTGGGGGAGGGGGATGTTAAATATCTCACAGTGCAAAATGCTGCATGGAATTTAGATAATCTGAAGTGCTGCAAATAAATAAGAAATTACATCATATATAGATGACAGCATTATGAGATCAGTGCTAAAACAATATCACTTGCACAAGCCATGCTGCTCTCCCATCACTATCCGTGCAATAATTCTGCAGCCAGCCTACTTCATTTTGCCACACATAGGAAAATAAAACACCATCATTTCAGCATGTCTTTCATATTACTAGAACTGGTCTAACACATAAAAATGCCTGCAATTTTTACTTAAATATATGTATGTGTCAATTATATACAGAACAGGATGGGGATGTGCATAAATCTAAGTTATTTTAAAAGTTTTGTGTCAAAAAAACACACTGAGATACAACTGCTACATGCACATCCTTGGACAATAGTACAGACTGACATATGTAGCTGCATTTATTAAGACAAAAAATCTGATTCCTACGGTGTCTTCTTTTTTTAATCAATAAAGTCAAATGTAAGTCAAAGTTCAACTTTCATTGTTTCAGATGGAGTCAACACAAGTTTTGTCACTGCTTTTGTCATGGATATGATTAATGCTATTTTCCTTCTTAATGCTTTTCAATAATGCTTATACTCCAGTATGTACACACACTCAGTAAACAAGTGTTCAAGTAACTAATTCAAAGCAACACAGTCCTTAAACTTTCTTCATTGATTGGTCCATTGAAAGTCTAATACATACGGCTTCATAACATTCCTTACCTTCAAAGCACTTTTGTAAGGTAGATATTTCTATTTACCTTCATTTTAAAGACAAAGAATGGACTAAGAGTGACTTAAACAAGCTTCAGTGGAAATTAACAACTGACTTCTTGTGCTGTCATCACAAATGTTGCTATAAAATATTCACTGAAGGCAAAGGAAAGTAGAACACATTAGAAAAAATGTATCTAAAAGAAGAGTCGCTCAAATTGGACTACAAGTCAATAAAATAAAACAATGGTAAATGTTCACCAGAAACAATCCAATTAAGATGTTAACAATTACCTTTTCAGAAATTAAGCTAACTTTATTTTCCATGTCCAGGAATCTTTCAGCTTCTTGCTGCAAGAAATTGTACCTTTTTTCCATATCAGCAAATCGACTCGACTGCTGAAACAGTAACCTGCAAATTGCAAATAAATAAACAGTAAATTATAACAATATAATTAGCATACATTAAGTCTTCCAGGATCTGATTCACAGAAATCTGCTAATGAAGGGAATTGTGCTCATACACACACACACACAATTTGCTAGTGAATTTGATGTGTCTTCATACTGGAGTTGATGCCTTCCAACAGACGTGTAAAAATAAGGAAACATTTATAGATGCACTTCTCTTTTACACAGCATACCATCTAACAAAGAAAAACGTCTATTAACACAGAGAGGTCATTTCATAGAATAATAGAATCTTGTGAGTATGAAGGGACTTTTAAAGGCCATCTATACCAACTCCCCTGCAACAAACAGGGACATCTACAGCTGATCAGGGTGCTCAGAGTCCCTTCAGCCTGACCTTGAATGTCACCATGACCAGGTACACACCACCTTTCTGGGCAGTCTGTTCCAGTGCCTTACCATCTTTACGGTAAAAAAACAAAAAAAAACCCTCCTTATCTCCAATCTAAATCTCCCCTTTTAGTTTGAAATAATTTCCCCTTGTCCTGTTGCAACAGACACTGGTAAAGATTCTGTCTCCTTTCTTACAACCCCCCTTTAGATACGGAAAGGCTGCTTTCAGGTCTCCCCACAGAGCCTTTTCTTCTCCAGGCTGAAAGAGCCCCAGTTCTCTCAGCCTGTCTTCTAAGAGAGGTGCTCCATCTCCAGGATAATTTTGGTGACTCTCCTCTGGGCGCACTCCAACAGGTCCACATCTCTCCTGTACTGAGGACTTCAAATCTGGATGCAGCACTCCAGATGAGGTCTCACCAGTGCAGAGCAGAGGAGTAGGATCACCTCCCTCACCCTGTTGGCCCCACATCCTTGGATGCAGCCCAGGGTCCAGCTAGCTTTCTGGGCTGCGAGAGCATACTGCTGGCTCATGTCCAGCTGTAACCTACCTGTACACCCAAGTCCCTTTTGACAGGGTTGTGCTCCATTCTTACATTGCCCAGCCTGCACTGACAGCAGAGTTTGCCTTGACCCAGATACCAGACTCTGCACTTTGATCTGTCAAACCTCATAAGGTCCACTTGGTCCCACCTCTCAAGCCTGTTTAGGTCTCTCTGAATGGCATCCCATCCCTCAGGAGTGTCAATTGCACCACACAGCATGGTGTCATCTGCAAGTTGAGGGTGCACTCAACCCCACTGTCAATCCCACTGATGATGTTAAAGAGCACTGGTCGCAGTACTGACATTGAGCCACTAACCACCACTCTTTGGGTATGTTCTCACAACCAGTTCCTCATCCATCAAACAAGGCTACCCATCAAATCCACATTTTTCCAGTTTGGAGAGAAGGATGCTACGGGGGACTGTGTCAAAGGCCTTGCTGAAGTCTAGATAGATTACATCAATGGCTCTTCCCTTGTCCATTGACGCAGTTACACCATCATTAAAAGTGACAAGGTTGATCAGGGAACACTTGCTCTTGGTGAAGCTGTGCTGGTCCTCCCAGATCACCTCCTTGTCTTCCATGTGCCTTAGCATAGCTTCCAGGAGGTTCTGCTCTATGACCTTCCCTACCACTGAGGTGAGGCTGACAGGTTGGTAGTTCCCTAGCTCATCCTTTTTACCCTTCTTAAAAACGGATGTGATGTTGCCTTTTTTCCAGTCACCAGGGAGTCTGCTTGACTGCCATGACTTTTCAAATATCACCAAGGGTGACTTGGCGACTATATCCACCAATTCCCTCAGGATGCATCTCATTGGGCCACGTAGATTTATGGATGTTTGGGTTCTTCAGCAGCCATGAACATTATCTTCGCTTACAGGGGGAGGGGCCATGCTCCCCCAGTTTCCACCTTCCAAACCAGCCATTCAAGGCATATTTGTAGAGCAGTCACTAGCAAAGACTGAGGCAAAAAATTGTTGAACACCTTAGCCTTCTCCTTGTCCGCTGTTACTATCCTGCCTTTGTTGTTCACTGGGGAAAGTACACCGCCCTGGTCTTTCCTTTTCCAGTTGATGTACCTACAGAACCCCTTTTTATCCTTGTTTGCGCCCCTTGCCAGGTCCAGTTCCAGTTGGGCCTTGAACCTTCCTGAAGCCATCCCTACACAGCCTAGAAGCATCCTTATACTCCTTCCAGATTACTGGTCCCTGCTTCCACTGCCTGTGCATTTCATTCTTGCTCTCCATTTTGACCAGCAGGTACTGTTTTCCCCCTCAGGTAAGGCAATATATTTCACTGGTAAAGTATACTTTAACTGGTAGAACTAAAAGACAGAACATTAATTTGGATTTTCTTGTGGAGCACCTTAAAATCATGCATGGAAACCTTCACAATTAGAAAGTCTGGTTAAGCTAATGCTGCTTAAAGCTAATTAAGGCTGGTTAAGCTAATGCTGCTAAAAGAACATTGACTATTTAACATTAACATCGTTTATGGACATGGTTTAGTGGGCATGGTGGTGATGGATTGAGAATTGGACTAGATAATCTTAGTGGTTTTTTATAACCTTTATGTTTCTATGAACATGTAACCAGAGAAGAACATATGGTAAAGCCTGTATGATGCTATATTTCTGAACAGATAGTAGGGATCTCAGTCCTGTAATTTATGTGCATACTAGTGAACCTGAGAGCAGAATGGAAATGAGGCTATGAGTAAAATGCTGTTATTTTGCTGGATTCATCCCTCAGTAAGGCTTATGGTGGACGAGGGGGTCCTCTCACTACTAGAGCCATTTCATCTAGAAGAACAGAGCTTATTTAAATACTTGTACTTTTGTGAATTGCTGTTCTCTATGATTCTATGATATTTGTTAGAATACCACACAGCAATTAGAAGTTGCAAAGAGAACAACAACAGTCTGCATGGATTAAGGTAAGCAATGAAAGTTAAAAGTGAGAGATACAGAATGACAGCAGAATAAAATGGATCAGTGACGCCTCTGCCTACTGCTTTATGTGCATTGTATAACGTAAGTCACACATTTATTAAAGATTTAGATAAAGAAACCTGACTGAGCGTAAGATAAGAACAAGTTCTGCTAGATTTCTGCGCAGGGCTACCTACCAGGCCAGCACCAAGCAGGCAGAGAGAGAAATCACACCCAAGGCCATCCGTGAATCCATCCCAGCAGAGTTCTGGCTGTGGCTCACCACCTTCCCACGGCTGCTGTGCTTTTTGAGCTTCTGGGAAACTTCGTCGCTCTTGGATGAAGGAAGACCTTTTTTCCTCTCCTTAACTTCAGACATTTTGTGTCGTTTTTTTTTTGTTGTTTTTTTTGTTTTTTTTAAAGAGCGGGAGCAAAAAAAAACTACAAAACAAAACAGCAGTTAGTTACACAAATACCCAGAAAGAAACGCGTGCTTAACACATTACCTAAATGAGCACCACGACACGGATGGAAGTTCACTTACAGAAAACTCGGTGAAAGCTCGGGTTTCTCTTTTGTTTGTTTGGTTTTTTTTTTCCCTCAGTGCTCTGCAGAGCGCGGCTCTGACGTTTGCTCAATAAACTCCACGCACTCCTCAGACTTCTGCCCGCGCCGCCCCGCCTAACTACCGCACTATCAGCCACGCTAAAGGCATACACGTATAGATAAAGGCAGCTGTTGCCTCGCTTCTAGAAGCAGGTCCACCCCGCGCCTATCTTCCACCACGCTGCCCCCGGCTGCTGCCTGCGTCTGTCCCCGCCCGCCTCAGCCCGCCACGTCAGGCGCGTGCCAGCAGCCCAGGCACTGCGCAGGCGTGGGCGGCTCAGGTTGGGTTGATTTTCCCCACCCCCGGGCCCGGAAGGAGGAAGTGTCGGCGGGAGGAGTGCCGGCTGTGCGTTTTGTGGTTGTCGCTTCTGCTCGGAGCTGGGCAAGAGCTGAGAGCCGGAGGCACGGCTCCTCCTCGGCTGGTAACGGCGCTGAGGGGGCGCGCGGGGCGGGAAGGGCTGCGGGCCGAACTGTGGGCGCGGGGCGGCGGCTGCGGGCGCTGCGCTTTCTGTTTCTTTTCCCCCGCGGCGAGAGGGGCGCGTTGTTGTAACTGGAAAGCCTTGGGGAAAGAGTGGCTTTCACCAACTTCAGACCGTTTTGTTGCTGTTGTTTGCTTTTATGAGATGGAGGGAGAACGTCGTTTCAGCAGGACAGAAGTGAAACACAATGAATTCTTTCAGATACCTACGATTTATGGCATCAACTTGCCTGAAGATTCGCTCTATTTACAGCTGCTCAGCTGACTCTAAAGTAGAAAGCATAAGATACTTTAAAGCAGCTTTCTTTGTACATATAAGTTATGTTCTGGCTCCAGCCTGACTTTTTTTTCCCCTCACCTTAAAGAAATATGGATGCGAAGAGTAGAGCGTGTTTAATTAGGCATCGTCGGGCACTGGAGAGAGACATCAAAACCTCGTACATTATGGATTGTATGGTTTCTGACCAAGTCCTGACACTGCAGGAGGAGGAGAAAGTGAAACAACAGGTAGAGTCATCTGTGTTTTTTTTTTTTTGTTTGTGTTTTATGGTCCTTTCTAAAAATTATTGCTGTCAATCATTACTACATTACAAATGCTTAACCAGGTGCTTAGGATGTGGTTATTATTGCAGCTCATAAGGTTGAGCTGAGGTCTTGCTGAAACTGAAATCTATATCCGTAGCAATAAACGTGTTAAATAACTTGCAGAGCAATAGATTAGGTAGTTTCTGTTAGCTTTGTGTAACACCTATTTTAATGTTTGTTCTAGAATACACAGAAGGAGCGAGCAGCTATGCTAATAGATACTCTTCTTAAGAAAGACAATAATGCATATAGATCTTTTTATAATGCACTGCTTCATGAAGGGTACAGAGATCTTGCTGCACTTCTTCAGGATGGCATCCCTGTCTTCTCCTCTGGGAATGGAAAGCATGCTATGGATGAGATGACTTCATATGGTTAGTGCAACTGCAGCAATCTCAGTTTCTGAATGGAATGAGAAGCTGTGTTTTTATTCACTGCTAAGTGACTATCTGTAGTACCTAAAAGGAAGTAAAACAAAAAGGAAGTAAACAACGAGCTTGTTTACTTGTTTTGGTAGCACAATAGTTGGTAGTTCTGTATTTCATATGATAGGAGAGGATGGTTATGGCTTTCATAGGTCATCTTGAAAACGTTCATTGCTTGGTAATGTGTATTTTAAAAGACTGGAAATCTGAAACTCCTGTTTTTTCTGTAAATTGTAACATTTTAATAGTCTTTCTTTCATTTACAAAAAAAAAGTTACAATTTAGACTCTTAAGTCTTTCTTTCATTTGCAAGTCATTCTTTTTAAGTCCCTACACCTGGTGTAGGGAACCTGCTTTGGAAGGGGGGTTGGACTCGATCTCTGGAGGTCCCTTCCAACCCCTACAATTCTGTGATTCTGTGAAGTTTATGTAGGTTGCTCCAAAAATAATGTCTTCTCTTTATTTCCGTGGAAAATCCAACAGATTCGCAGAGCTCTGTAATACTATCTGATTGATCACACACTCATCTACAGAACACTGTCACCACTATTGGCTATGCATTTTCAGCAGTGATGGATGAGAGCCTGGAATGCTGTACTCATAACAAACTGCACCAGAGGAGATGACACACTGTCACCACTACTGAAACACACTGCTTCACTGCACTCACATCCACTGCTTGGTCTCAGTCAATGTTCAACAAGTGTCAGTGAATGTCAGTGGGTGCAATTTTTCCAGTGTGGAGGTGTTCAATTCCACACCATTGTTTGATACACACTTCTAAGTCAGATGGCATTTTGTCAGACTGCCCCTCTGCTGCCATCTGGTGCACAGCAACAAAATGTAATGGAATAGTGTTGGGAAGGTTCAACCTCTATTGCCATACCACCATCTGCCTCTGATGTTGTAAGCCAACATAATAAAATAGGAGGTGTTACTTTTGGAGTAGCCCTAGTATATAATAAAGTAAATTTTACATAAAAGGTTTCAGCCTTCAGAATTCAGACATTTCTCATTTAGAGTAGTCTGTAACTCTCAGCACTGCATGCCAAATGTTAATCTAGCTAATTTGAGTGCTTATTTCACCACAAGATCTTTTGCTTACCTTCAGTAAGATCTTAAACTTTACAGAAGTTGTCTTCTTTGATTTATATGAAATAAATTAGTAGTTTTTAGTGGGATGAACTGTCCTACTGCATTTGACTAAATGACAGCTGAATCTTACGGTATATTTTTTGGCACTGTCTAATATAAGAATCATAGAGTCTTTAAGGTTGGAAAAGATCATCTGGTCCAGCTGTCACCTGTTCCACTGCCTGCCCCATGATCGTGTCCCTCAGTGTCACTTCCACATGGTTCTTGAACACCTCCAGGGATGGCAGCTCTACCACCTCCTTGGGCAGCCTGAGTCACTGCAGCACCACTCTTTCAGAAGAGAAATTTTTTCCTAATATCCAACATGAACCTCCTGTGGTGTGGCTCAAGGCCATTTTCTCTTGTCCTGTCACTGTTACCCAAAAGAGAAGAGGCTGACCATCACCACACTACAGTGTCCTTTCAGGTCATTGTAGAGAACAATAAGATCTCTCCTGAGCCTCCTCCTCTCCAGACCAAACAATCCCAGTTCCCTCAGCCGTTCCCCATAAGACTTGTGCTCCAGACCCTTCACAGCGTTACTGCCCTTCTCTGGACACTCTGCAAGCCCTCCATGTCTTTCATGTACTGAGGAGCCCAAAACTGAATGCAGTACTCAAGGTGCAACCTCATAGAGACATGGTATTTAGAATACCTGAGTGAGATTTCCAAAAAAAATAGCACAATGGCCAGCTGTCTACTGTGTGACCTGCAATGGAGAGAGCAGGTGCACGTTTACTTTCTTGCTATGCTTCAGGTGCCCTATTGCAAGTGCACCTGTCTTAGCTTAAATAAAGAGAAGCCTGGCTTGGACAGCAATGCTGTGCTGTTAACCACAGAGTAGAAGCTTTACTTTGCATGCTTCCTTTTCTGCTGTATTCTTGAAGCAGTAACCTCTGGCTGAGAGAGTGGCTCAATGGTTGGGAATAGTAATAGTTCTTGGGATTGATGTAACTAGGTCCAGCTTGCAGAAAATGTAGTTACCAACTGGGATGCTGCTGTAGATGGGAAGCTGTTACCTGTTAATTTTGGCATGGTTAGTCCAGGAGTTCTTAGAGCATCTGTATGGGAAATGGGCTGGGGGAAGGATTCTTGGGGGTGAATTGTTTGTTTTGTTTGGAAGAGGCATAATGTTTAGAAATCACTTTTTCTTTTCATGTTTCTTGTTTTTAACTTCAGTTAAGACAACTCTCTGCGAAGGAGGTGTACCACAGAGACCAGTTGTGTTTGTCACTCGGCCAAAGCTGGTAGATGCTATTAAACAGAAACTGTGCAGCTTAGGAAGTGATCCAGGTTGGGTGACAGTTTATGGAATGGCAGGTTGTGGAAAGACCGTTTTAACAGCAGAAGCTTTAAGGGATCACCAGCTCTTGGAAGGTACTTTTCTAAACATCAATATTCTAAAAATTACTAGAAATATCTATGCATTGAGTGTATATGGATCTTATGTCATCTTGAAATTGATTTTGTATTTAGCATGATAAATTCCTTAGGTGCTTTTATTGCTTGCAAGTTACAGTTTTCAGAACCGTTTAGTGCTCTGGGACCACTGCATATTTTATTAATTTATGGAAAAAGATTCTTAACAGCTTTTTACCTTGAAACCTGCTTTGATTTATGAGAGTAGATGCAACCTTAGGTAACTTGAATTTGTTATTTCTAGCAGTACAAAATATAAAATTATCATTTTTAGTCTTTATTCTTTTTTGGGTGTTGCTTGTAAGTTCTTCAGACTTTTACCTATGCTATATGGGTTTAAAAAATCTTGCTCAGACTATAGTGTAGGTTTTAGTAATGTCAGACATTTGTGGTGTGGTTATACTACTATCAGTAGTAGTAGATAATAGATCATAAATGAAATCATTTACTGTTGTTTTTCTGTATAGGACATTTGGAGCAGAAAGTGAGGTGAGATATTAGAAAATATGTCTGAGATTAGAGAATGTGGCATCCTCTGCTGCAGCTGGCTCTTCTAGAAGCCTTCTTGCTAAATGTTTTGTGGTAATTTTGTATCCCAAGCCCTGAACTCCTGCAGAGTGAAAAAGTGAGTGCTGAGACAGAGAAGAAGGAAAGGGCTTGTCAAGGAAAACAAGTAGAAAGGAGGGGGACAGCATCGGTGACAATGTGAGCTTTGGGAACTTGCCTTACAGAGGCTGTTCCTTTTAAAATATAAGGCAGTAATCTTGTAGAATCATCCTCCTGCGGTACAGAGTTTTAAGGTTGTTTTGCAATAGACTTTACAGTTTATATTTGAATTTAAATTGTATTATTGATTGCTATTCTAATAAATGCTATAAATACTTCTAATTTTAAACGTAAAGCGTGATTAACATTGTTGTTCCTGTCAGGTTATTTTCCAGGAGGAGTTCACTGGATCTCTGTGGGAAAACAGGACAAAGCTGGGCTCCTCATAAAACTACAGAATCTTTGTAGTAGATTAGAGCATGACTCTACTCTTTCACAGAGACCACCACTTAACATCGAGGAGGCCAAAGACCGCCTTCGTTTGCTCATGCTGCGC